TTTTTGAATACAAAGGGAAAATGCAAAAATTTGGGGTTAAACTATTTTCTTATTTTACGTTTTGATAATTGTTCGAGGAATGATGACGTGAAAAGTCATCATTATATTAAAAATTGTTTCGTATTGAATTTGATCATCATCATCATCATCATAATCATTAATATCATCATCATTATTATTATTGTTATAATTAATTACGGTTGTGAGTAATTAACGATACGGATGTGCGTAAGGGGTTGTTGTTTTAACCTTTTGTCAAAAACACATGGTTATATTTTGACAATTTAGCGGTCGATTTTACATTTTGAACTTTTGAACTTTTAACTTTTATTGTATCGTTTCTCTCTCTCTCTCTCTCTCTCTATCTCTCTTTTTTTTCAATAAGTTGTCAGTCTAAAAATAGAGAGAGAGAAAGGAATAAAGAGAAAATAATTAACGTAATTGTTTTATTTTTCAATAGATTTAAAAAAAAACTCGTTTCCGGTTTTCTCTCTCTCTCTCTGTCTCTTTCGTACCTGAATCCTTATAAGGGTTTGGAATAAGTATGTAGTTATTAAAATATTATTTATGAATGTTGTGATGTCAATGGCTACCGGAATGGATTTTTTTTTTTTTTTTTATGTTGAAATCAGGACTCGAGTAATACGATGATCGTCTCAAGGTTAAAAAAAGAAAATTCTAAAGATTATCATCATCATTATTATTTATTATAAAGTTATTAAAAAAATACGAGCGACGACGACGACGACGACGATGATGATGTTATTAATTAATTAATAACAAACGATTTTGTGTAAGAAGAGATTTAAGGTGTTGGTACACTGGAAAAATACCGGAGGGATTAAGGTTAATGACCTCAATTAAATTTTTTTTTTTTTGTTAAAGTGATCAAAAAAGTTTTCTTTTGTTTCGTATGCGTGTTTAAAAAAACAAAAAAAAAATTTAGTTTTTTTTTAAAACGATTTGAAATAGTGAAAGGACAGATAGAGAGAGAGAGAGAGAGAAAAGGTTTTCTTTTTTTTTATTATTGGAAAATTCGTTTTTCTCTTTGTGTCACCGAAAAGAGAAAATACACCGGTCATGTATATTTTATCGATTCTGGCAGGAATCCATTCATTTTTGGTTTTTTTTTTTTTTTTGTTCACATTAGGAGCGCAAGGCAACCAATAATTTTGTTTATTTTCCTTTGCCAACCACATCCTCCACCTACCTCCCTCTACCCCCTCCCCATACCTCTCCCTCTCTTATTTTTTTTTTTATTTTTTTCGAAGGATGGATTTTATGCGACGATGAAAGATTTTTGAACGAGAAAAGGATGATGGTATGGAAAAAGGAAGAAAAATTTAATAAAGATTTGATTTTTATTTTTTTTTTTTTTTTAAGAAAGAACAGGAAAGAAGAGAGAGAGAAAATTACATTCAAGACGTAAAAGCAAGCAGACGAAATTCCAAAAAAAAAAAAAAAAAAAAAAAAAAAAACCGGCATGAAATCGTTTTTTCGTTCCGCTTTGATTATTCTGAACAACAATTTCAGGCATATTTTCTGACATGTCTAAACATTTCCTACGGGTATTAAATCGTGAATCTCAATTTTTAAAATGAATTGTACGTATGGAAGTACGCCGCGCGTTTATTTTGCATTTCTTCGTGACCCCACACACACCCCTCACCCTCCCCAACCTCCCGCACGTGACCGACGAGAGAAAAAGGCGAAAAAAAAAAATTTTTTTTTAAATTTCCGACAACAACAAAACGCGAAACTAAAAGAAATTATGTTGTTGTAAATTTATAGGCTGAAGAATTTTCTTCTTCTTTTTCTTCTTCTTAATTTTACGGTGCTACCAACAGAAAAAAAAAGAAAAATTCAAAAATATCCCGCGCCAAAATTGACGTCATTTTTTTTTATTTTTTATTTATTTAAATATTAATTTTGTATTATTGGATGAGCTTTCCCACCCTTTCCAAGCAGGGGAATAGGGGAGACAGATGAAGAGGAGTTTTATTTATTATTATTATTATTATTATTATTATTATTATTTCTTATTGATGATTACGTCACCTGTTTGAAGATCATCATCGAAGTGTAAAAATACGTAATAAATAAGAAGATTTAATAATTAATTAATTATTTTTTTCAAATGTTAAATCGTGCGAATCAAAGTAATTGTTTGTTGTCTAGTCGTTTGATTTTTGTTTTTTCGTCGTCGTCGTCTTTGTTTTGGTTGTTGTTGTTGTTTGTTGTTTGTTGTTGTTTATGATAAATGTTTTAAATAATTTTTAACCTTTAAAATTATATGGAGGGCGAGAGAGAGGAAGATGAGTCCAGAGGGAGACAAATAAAATAGCTTTTTGATTAATTACGTGGAAATAACAAATAGAAATATTATTATTATTATCATTATTATTATTATTATTACTGATTCGAATAATAATAATAATGATAATAATAGTAAAAATGTTGATTTATTTATTGTTAATTTTTTTTTTCTCTTGTTTTTGTAAATTTTTACCACGGTTAAATTTTTTATTTTTTCTCTTGAAATTTCGATGTGAAAATTTTTTTTAAAGATCAAAAGGTCTTACATATATTTTTCCCCTTCCCTCTCTTTTCTCTTTTATCCAAACTTCTTCTTTCCCCCTTTTCCCACCTTCTCCCCCTTCGAAAATAAATAAGGTACATAAAAATTTCACGCGAAAAAAAAATAATATAAAAATAAAATCCAGTTTTTTTTTTTTTAATAAAAAATAAATCGGCGTTAAATTTTTGTTAACGCGAACAAGTACATAAATAAAATAAATAAATAATAATAATAATAATAATAATAATAATAATAATAAGCGTGATTTTCAAAAAGGGAAAATGATAATGATAATAATTATTATTATTATTAAAAAAAAAAAAAAAAGAACATGCGATTTTATGGAAACGTTGAAAATTTATTTTTAATTTTTTATTTTTTCAAACATTTTTTTCTTTCTTTTTCTTTCTGCTTATCCTCTTCACCGTTCCCCCCATACCCCACCACCACCCCCGGAAATTAATTTTCTTTAATAATAATAATAATAATTTAAAATTGGTTTTTATTTTTATATAATAATTAATTTAAAAAATTTAACCGGCAATTTTTTTTTTTATAAGTTCTGCTTCGATTTAAACGTGACAATTTTCCTTGATTTTTCTTTTTATTAGTTTTTCACGGGGGGCGGGGGGTTAACAAACAAAGCAAAACATTTTAAATTTTTTTACTTTGTTATGTTTTTTCCTTTGTTTCGTTTTGTTTTTGCTTTTTTTTAAAAACAATTTTAATCCGTGAGGAAAGACAAAATGATGATGACGATATTATTATCATTATTTTACGAACTTAATACTTTTCCCGTTTTGATTGTTCTGTTGTCGTCGTGTAAGACATTAAAGAAAGGAATAAATTTTTAATGGAAGACTCTCCTCCCCCCCCAAAAAAAAAGTAATAATAGAAATTGCGTGTGGCAAAAAATAAAAAGAAAGAAAGAAAAATTGAGTTTGATGACCGTCGTCGTCGTCGTCGTCATCATCGTCGACGTCGTGACTCGTTGGTGTGCGAACCGTTTTTCGTGACTCAACCATCCTTACGTAATCCATAAATGGCCAGATTTCAAAGACGAGATGAAGACTTTTTTTAGAAAATTTTTCTATGAGTGGGTGCGTGCGTGTGTGCGTGCGTGCGCGCGTGTTTGAATGTTAAATCGAACGTAAAAAATAAAATATCAAAAAAAAAAAAAAAAAAAACAATCGATAAAGTTGTACAAAAATGAAATTTTTATTTTTAGAAAAAAGTTTGTTTGTTTTTCTTTTTGGAAAATGAATTTTTTCGCCATTTTGTTTTTTTGCTTCTCGCCACGTCACTTGCATCGACTCACAAGATTAAAAAAAATATATATAAATAAATTTTTTAATTGTTTTTATTATTATTAGGTTTAGGTTTAGGTTTAGGTTGTCGTGAGTTTGTGAGCTGAGCGTTTGTATGTAACCTATGACTGGAATGAGAAATCGTTTCGAAAATGTTAACAACCGTAATTGCGAGATGACGGTTTGTTGTTTCGTTTGTTTGCCGAAATGAGGAGAATGTCGAAAGGGGGGTAGGGGGAAATAGTTGTAGTAATTTAAACAATATTTTTAAAAATTTTACGTAATTGATAAAAACTTAGGCTTAGGTTTAGGTTTAGGTTTTTTTTCTTTTTTAATTATTTGTTTATTCATTCGTCGTCTGCTTATTTTATTTTATTTTTTCGTTACGGTTGAATAAGCTTTCGTGAGAGCCACGTAGGATTTTTTGTTTGTTTGTTTGTTTGTACTTGGATTTTATGCATCAATTCATTTTAATGCTTTTCAAAATGATTTTTTGGGATTTGGGGATCGGACGTTTGTTTGTTTGTTTATTTTTTTTATCGGAGAAAAACAAAAAAAAAAAAAATTATTGGAATCATGTGGAATTTTCCAGTTTTTTTAATAATAATAATAATAATGGTATTAATACATTAGGGTTTTCATTTTCATCGAAGAAATTCTTGAAAACTCTAACAATCGAAAATGTCGCTTATGTTGTTAAATTGAAAAAGTAAAATAAAATAAAATAAAATAAAATGGAAAATTTCAACGTACAAAAATAAAATTGTAAAATATTTGAAAACTTTTTTTTTTTTTTTTTTAAATTAAATGTATTATATGGATAACGAGAAAATAGAGAGAGAGAGAGAGAGAGAGAGTGTGAGAGAGTGAGAGATAGAAAAAAAAAATGTCGTTTTTTTTCCCTGTTACTTTTTAACGTTGTGAATTTATAGGTCGCGTATTATTATTATTATTATTATTATTATTATTATCTTGATAGAATTATTAAAGCTATATTTTATAATAAATAATATGAATATAGAGATGAAAAAATCTACATAAATATATAGTGTTATCGTCTCATTAAATTTTTAAGTTATCGTTTTTCATTTTTTTTTTTTTTTAGATATTTCGAAATGAGTGTGATTATTCGTCTCCAGAATTTGCCATGGTCGGCAAATTCTTTGGATATACGACATTATTTTAGGGGTTTGTCCATTCCAGAGGGTGGAGTTCATATTGTCGGGGGTGAAATGGGCGATGCATTCATCGCGTTCAGGTAAATTTTTTTTATTTCACACGTGTGAATTTTAGAAAAATTTTTCGTTTTCAAAATTAAATTTTATACATTTTTTTTTGAATTAATAATAGCACGGATGAGGATGCCAGGCAGGCCATGATGCTCGCAGGTGGTAAAATAAAAGAAGTTCAAATATCGTTAATGCTCAGTTCGCGTAGTGAAATGCAAAAAATAATCGAAGCAGCTCGTCAGGCTAGCATGTCAAATTCTTTGGCTCAATTGCTTGCGCCGTCTGCGGTGTCGATGCCCCCGATCACCCAGCAACAAATCGCTTCGAAAGAGCGTCGGGATTCAAAGGGAGATAAAAAAGATTCCAGTGACGTGAGTTCCAGTAGTCACGAAACCGGGAAAACGGATAGAAGGGATAGGACGCGAGAAAAATCGCGATCGAGATCGAGGGAAAGAAATAGAAAGGATAGGAGGGACAGAGACAGAGATAGGGATAGAGATAGGGATAGAAGGAGAAGATCGAAAAGTCGGAGTAGGAGTCGTGACAGAAGAAGAAGGAGATCGAGGAGTAGATCACGAGGTCGGGATAATCATAGTAGAGACAGAGATAAGAAAGACGGGAAAGATGATGGGAAAAAAGATGATAAAATGAACGTGGGTCCACCCACTTTGGAACCGGGAACAAACGTACCGAATTTAGATATATTAAATCCGACTACTTGGAACGTCATGCAAACCGGCGCTTTGGCGCAAAATGCCCAACTCCTTACCAATTTTGAACTCCTTAGAAATTTAGCCAGTCAAAAAGGACCGTTGATACCAGGCGGTCCGAGCTCATTGTTACCGACTCCCGTGAAAACCGATAGCCAAGGAAAATTAGACTTGTTTTCGAATAAGGGTAACAATTCTGGACCGAGAGATTTTAATAATCAGAGACCCGATTTTAGAAGTAAAGGCGACGGCATGCGGGGTAATCAGAGAGGATTTAAAAATTTTGAAATGAAACAATTTCAAGAAAATCACGGAATCGGAGATAGCAGATTCGGAGGGAGCCGCATGCAAAAGAATTTCCAAAACTTTGGACCCGGGTTCCCAATGAGAAACGGTAACGAAAACATGGTGAATCCTAGGTTTGTAGGTTTCGGAAGAGGAGACAACGGTTTTCTTCCCCGTGGACCGGCACCCAATAGAGAACGCCCTAACATATCGAGAGGTCTCCTAGATCTCCCGGTGGGTCTTCCGCAACGCAGTCGATATCCGAACAAAGATGATACGGTGGACGAATTCGGTAGGAGCATACAACTGAGAAATAGGAAAAACCTTAACAACGAGGATTCCTTTCAAGATGACATCGGAGGGTTGGGAGACCAACAGCAAAATTTTTTAGGTTTTCAAAACAGGTTCGGGAAAAATCCTCAGAATCAAAGGCCGCCGTCTTTGATGAGAGGAAGGGACAACTGGCAAATCGGAAGGGGTGGAAACGAGGGAAATTATCAGGAACGGAGAAATTTTCGGAGTTCTTACGACGACTCGAATCGTGGTTTTAGAGGGCCTAAAAATAGAGACTTTTCAAAACACCAAGAAGAAAGTGAGCCGCAGTCTAATTCGTCATCGGAAAAAGACTCTTGCATAGAAATAAGAAATCTTTTGCCACACATCGCTTACGGAGAAGTGAGAAAGCCGTTTAGCAATTTAAAATTAGTTATAAAAGAAATAAAATTTTTCGGTTACACTCCCAAAGATAAAAAGTGTAGGATAAAATTTTTGAACAATGAAAATAAAAGAAAAGCAATTCAAGCAGGTAATAAAATTGTTATAGACAATAAACAAGTGCACTTATTAAGTATAAGCGATGGGGAATTCGACGAAACCGCCGACGAAGGAGTTAAAAGACCGGAAATTAAATTTTCCGACGACGAAGACGACGACGTGGTCGTGTCGCCCAAAGAGGCTTACCTACAAGTATCGGATCTTCCGTCGGACGTCGAAGAAAAAGACATAAATAATCTCTTTCCGAATATGGCTCTTGATAAAATAATATTGGAAATGTCGAACGATGGTAAAAGCAAAGTCGCATACGTCAAATTTCAAAAAGCAGTCGACGCGAAGGTGGCATTGGGAACACCCAATCGAACCATCGGCGAATCGCCGGTGGTTTTAACTTCGTTACCTCAATACGCATTCAACGACCATTTGAACAAATTCAAAAAGACCAAAAAGGAATATTCCGAAGTGATGGAAGTTGATTTGTCGAAAGCGGAAGAAGAAGAAGAGGAAGAAGAAGAATCATCATCATCATCAATCGGAAAAGACGTCAACAAATCTACTTGCGTCCTCATGAAAAATTTACCCTTGGAAGCCAACGATCGCGACATATGCGATTTCTTTTCCGACATTGGTTTAGTTCCTAATAAAATTCATCTCATGCTCGACACGTCGGGTCAACCGTCTGGTGATGCTTTCTGCGAATTTTCCGATTTGAATCAAGCGGAAAAAGCGTGCACGAAAAATTCGGCTCATTTGGGTAAAAACATCGTGAGCGTGACGAAAGTACATCAGAGCGAAATGATGGAAGCTTTAGGAGTGTCGAAAAACGAGAAAAACAAAATTCCAAGTCTCATGGAATCGTTCGGTCGTCCGCAATGCGTCGTGACACTAGAAAACATACCTTTCAGAGCGGAAATATTCGACATAATTAATTTTTTCGGTTGGAGTTATAATTTGACGGAAAGCGACATATTTAGGAGGTACAACGACAAGGGTCAGCCCACCGGAGATGGAAAAGTTTGTTTCAAAACTCCAGAAGACGCTTTGAGAGCCATAAGATTTTTAAATAATAGAAGTTTAATGGGTAGAGTTATAAGAATGAAATTAGTTTAGATAAACAAAACAAAAACTGCCCCCCCCCTTTTTTTTTTTTTTATTGAATTTAACGAACAGTGTAAAATTTTCTCTTTCTCTCTCTCTCTTTTTTTTTTTTGTTTTTACTATTAAAAAAAAAAAAAATTGCGAGTAGTTTTAAGGACTTAATTAAAAAAAAAAAAATAAGTAAATAAATAAAGAAAAAATAGTTTTATTTAAAGTACTCAAACTACCGATAATAAAGTTTAAAAAAAAAATAATAATAAAAAAAAAGTACAAATTATTTTAAGTTAACGTATTATTATTATTATTACTATTATTATTAAGAAAATTGTAATGTAAATAAAAGTTTTTTGATTGAAACTTAAAAGATTTATGTTACATAAATATATATATATATATATATATATATATATTTATTTATATATATATAAAAAAATAGATTTTTTTTTTTTTTTCTTCTGGAAATTTGTTAATTTTATTTTTCAACACGAGTGTATAATGAATATTTTTCACATGAAAATATATAAAAATAAATAAATTTGTATAAAAAAAAATATATATACATGTATAATTTTTTTTTTATTTTAATTAATTTACATAATTTATCCTTCAATTATTATTAATATCGATAAATAAATAAAATAATAATTAATAATTGTCGTATTAAGTTACGCCATTGTGAATATTATGTATGCGATGACGTCACCCGTTAAAATCCCGCCAAATTTTTATTTATTTTTTTTTATAGCTTTGGCAACGTCAAAATCACCGCCTTGGGTGAAAGAGAAAATATCATCTGGTGGTGTCCCAATATACTGTAATTTATGTCGTTCGAAAAGTGTAAACAAATAAAATTACGTTTATATAAATTCAAATCGACGGAGTAATAAAAGTTGTTTAAATTCGCGGATCGTAATTAAAGTATCAGTGATTATTATTAATTGATATAATGTCGTATTTTAATAAAATATGCGGCGTATATAATTGTAATTATGGAAAAAGTGAATTAACGTCTTCTTGAATAAAATGTATCTAGTTCGTGGTTGTCAAATTTACCATTCGGCATAAAAATTAATTATATTTAAAAGCGAATGCATGCTAAAACATGTTGGGAGGTTGGGAGGATACCGACAGGGATGATTATAATATAGGTGAGATGAAAATCGTTTAATAAGTTTTATATTTTAGCAAAATTATTAAAATTTCGTGTCCACACAAAAAGGAGATATTAATTAATTTAATGAGTATAAATTGTTAATGATTATTTTTCTCCTTTTTTTCGCACGTAAAACATTTTATAGCGTCATAAACAATAATTTATTTTATTTTAGGTCGATTTGATCAAAATTTAACAGGAAGCATTGCTGGCGATCATGGAGGTTAGTTTTTTTTTTTTTTTTTTTTTTCTTTTCTAAATTTAATTTCAAACGTGTAATAATTTTCTAAAAAAATTTTTCAAGAGTTAAAGGTTAAGTTAAAATAGTAATAATTATAAAATGAGAACTTAAAAGTATTTTATATAAATGAAAAATATTTAATTTGATTTGTTTCATGCAAATATGGCAGCTAAAAAAAAAATTTCATTGTTATTGTTTCGCATAAAGTGACAAAAAAGAAAAGAAAAATTGTCATTTCGATCATTTATGATTAATTAAATAATTATTTATTTTAATGTTGCACATATAAAACAAAATAATTGTGAGTTTTGTATAAAAATCTTATCAATTTGACAAAGTATTTGTTTTAAAACAATCCCCCCACACTGAATAATTTAGTTTTTCAAATTTTAATTCTCACATTTTCATTGATGCTAACTCGAAAGTTTTATGGATTCAATATTGAAATTTTTTGTGTTTGATAATGTGAATTGTTATTATGAGATTATTACTAATATTATCATCATTATTGTGTTCATAACATCAAATTTTATTTTAACAAATTTGTTTGTTTTTTTTAAAAGAAAAGCTAGGGAAACATTCATTGTAAAATTCTCTGATGGGAAACTTTTATTTCGACAACATTTTCAAATTTCCTCTCTTAACAACTAATTAATGCATTGGCCCCCCAAAATTTATCAAGTTGATTTCACTCAATCACAAGAGGAAGTCATATAAATAGTGATCATACAAATCATGTGAAATCCTTATCGAAATTGTAAAATTATTTTTAGGTAATTCGATAAGAGATGCTGGAAAAATTAATTTTTGTGAATCGATTTTTGAAAATGTCCAACGATAAGTCCAACGGTTTACTCGCAGTCAATAATTTTGTATTTTGTGGTTGTGATGATGATGATGATGATGATGATGATGATGATGATGATGATGATTATAATAATATTAATAATAGTGGTTACTATGATGGTGATTATTATAATAATTATCATATGAAATTTATTTCTTGTCTCGAGTTATTAGCATTTAATTAAAAAGATAATAATTAGATTAAACGTTCGATGAGATTTCCAATGGAACGGGTCAAATCATTTGTTATTAACATTTTAGTATTATTAATAAATAATGAGATGATGCAAAATGGCCAAAGTGGGGGGAAAAAAAAATTTGTTTTCATTCAGTTCGTCCTTTTAATAATAATAATAATAATAATATGGTTGATATGAAAAAAAAAATAATACGATTTCGATTTCGATTTTTTTTCTTTTTACGTAACGTTCGATTTGGAAAAACACGAAAACACGTTCGTTTGTTTGTTCGTTAGTTTGAGTCTCGTAACGGACGTTTTGTAAAAAAAAAAAAAAAAAAAAAAAAAAAAAAAAAACTTTTTTTTTTTCGATTTTCGATTATCGGTTTTCGCGAGTGTTGTTTACATCTTTGGATTCTTTTTTTTTTTTTTTTTTTTTAAATTTTATTAATATTTTGATAATTATATTAAATGCGTTTTTTTTTTAAACTTATTTTCCGTTTGAAAAATTGTTAACGGAAAAGCTTTCTAGTACGAAGGTCAAATAAATTTTTTATCCGTTCGTCGTTTTTTTTTGAAAATAAATATTTGATTTTTATGTTATTAACGTCTCGTGAAAAAGTATAATAGGAAAAACGGGAAAAAATTATTATTATTATTATTATTTTTCTTCTCTTCGTATTTTTTATTCGTTTGTTCGTTTACTGTTGTCAGAGTTGTAAAAAAAAAAAAAAAAAAAAAAAAAATTTTTTTCAATTAAATTTTGTGATACATGTGATTTTTTCGCTGTTGCTGTTGCTGTTGTCATTATTATTATTTGAAAAAAGAGTGTTAAAAAAAAAAGAAAAAATTAACCGGAAAACTATCCACCATTTTTCTTAACGAGTTTCGGTTTTTTTTTGTTTGTTGTTGTTGTTGGTGAAAAGAATTTTGTTATTGTTATTATCATAATCATTATCATCGTCGTCGTCGAGTTTTTTTTTTTTTTTTTTTTGGGGAATGGGGTGAGGAGGATGAATGAAAAAATTTTCCGGTTCGAACGATGTTTTCCACACATCCATATCCGAATAAAATGAAATGAAATCCTTCGATGTGTTTGTCGATAAGGTTCAAGACATATATTCAAAAGTTAAATGGTTTCAAGGTTCAAATGGTACGACAACCGACAAATTTCAAATAAAACGTTTGTTGTTCGTTTGTTATTTGATTGTTTAAAACTCATTTAAATTTAAAGTAATGATGATAATAATAATAATAATAATAAAATTGATCGTACATATTTCCTACTTGGATTATTCTTGGATACGTGATAAACTTTGTTTATTTATAGAACTGGAAAACGATGGCGGCTGTTGGAAAAATTCATCGATTGCAGTTTTCTTTTCTTTTCTTTTTTTTTTTTTCGGGGGAGGGGGGTAAGGAAGGTTCATTATAAATCGTTGTGCACGACGTCACAACCGTGTTGCACATACACACACACACGAATTTTTTTTTGAAGTTTAACTAGAGATGGGGGATGAAGGAGGAGACGAAGTAAAATCAATTTTTTTCTTCAGTTTTTTTTTTTTTTTTTTCATGAATGGATTCGTATCATTATTATTATTATTATTATTATTTTATAATACGTAATATTTATTTATTTTGATTTTGGCCGTTATTTTTGTTTTTTTTTTTTTTTTTTACATAAATAAATCAAATGATTGAAGGTTTTATTTAAATCCTTAAAGTTTCATTCATTTATTTCTCTTCTATGGAAATTTTATTGCCAAAGTTTTTTTTTTTTTTTTTTTTTTTTTTTTTTATAGTTTTAAGGTATCCTTTGAAGTTTTTTTTTTTTTTTTATTGGGGAGGCGGGAGGGGGCTTGTATAAAGATTTAAAAATATTTACGCTTTTTTTTTTTTTTGTTTAAAAATAGTAATTGAAAGAAATTTATTTGCATTCGGTGCCAAAAAAAAAAAAAAATAAAATAAAAAAAATCCGCAAATAGTATCCGAAATTGATTTTTTGCCAAAGGTGATTTTAAATCAATTTGAAATGAATTATTATTATTATTATTATTATTATTATTATTAATGAAATGTAATCATTAAGGTATTGAAAGGTTGTTTAATTAAGATAGGAATAGAAATAGAAAAAAAAAAAAAAAAAAGATGGTCGGAATGAAAAATGTATTGAATGAATTCATTTCGACGTATTTCGTTGTTGTTGTCGTCGTCGTTTAAAGAATGAAAAATTTATTTATTTATTTATTTATTTTTTCTTGCACGTTAACTTGTGTGTGACGTTTGTTAGTTTGTCGCGTTGTTGTTGTGGTTGTTGCCGTGATTGATTGTTTTTTTTTTTTTTTTTTTTTTTGTTCTCAGAGAGTCATTCGCAGGGGAATTGTTCCGATAGCGGTCAAACGATCACGACCCAAGATACGAGCATAACTTCGTCAATAGGAGACGACGATAAACCGTACGATGTTAATTTTATTGAAGGAAGCAATCAATCATCTGCTGATGGAGGATCACAAAATTCATCTTTGTCAAGTTCGTATAAATATTTATTGTGTACTATACATGTTGCATGCGTTTTCGTTTGAAAGTCATCGTCGAAAACAGGTTGGTAAAATTATTATTATTATTATTATTATTGTTGTTGTTTTTTTTAAAATGCAGTTACGGAATGCGATGTAAAAACGGGAAGCGGGAGCGGGAGCGGCGGTACGATTTTACCCTGGGGAGCACACAAAGAACGATCCCTGTATCCGTCGTGCGTGAATATTGACGTGGATATTAAACCTGGAGAATTTGTTATGCGAACGCTTTTCGCGGATTTCACGGTTCAAGCAGAACGGAAAATGGAAGCTGTCATGAACGATCCATTGGTTTGTTTTCCGGAGACCGGTCGTTTGTTGATCACGATCGTATACGAAAGTTTAATTTTTTACGTTTAAATTTTTCAGGAGAAACCGTTGTCTAAAATATTACAAAGGGGAGAAGATGCACAATTCGATCAGTTGCTCGGAGCTTTCGGATCCGTCGCAGAACATTGTCTGCCTTCCTTACTAAGAGCTTTGTTCGCATGGTACGAAAGACAAATGGCGGAAGGTGTGATTCCTCAGCTAAGGAAAATAGATTTGAAAGGGAAAAGGTGTGAACGGCGTGCGATTTTTTTGTTTTATAAATTAGGGTAATGTTTTTACCGGTCGTCCATTTTATTTTTTTTCTCAGCAGCGAACCAACAGAAAAAAGCGAGACTGAAATTGTACAGGAAAGAAGAGATTTAGCTGTGGAGTTTATCTTTTGTTTGGTTTTAATCGAAGTTCTAAGACAATTAACTTTTCATCCCGGACACGAAGACTTGGTTGGTTTCATCGAAACGATGGCTTTTAGACATTTCAAATATAGAGAAGGGTAAGTTAAGTTTAAGTAGGTTTGATAAAGAAATCGAAGTGGATCTTGAAGAATTTTTTTTTTATCGTTTATGAAGTTTACAAAGTGGTCCAAACGCCGGAAATATACACATCGTTGCGGATTTGTATGCCGAAGTCATCGGAGCATTGGCACAATCCAGGTTTATGTCCGTCCGTAAAAAATTCATGACGGAATTAAAGGAATTGCTGGCGAAAGAACCCTCACCCCACACAACCCAGAGCATAATATCTTTACTCATGGGAATGAAATTTTTTAGAGTTAAGGTTTGTAAAAATTATTTTTTCTCTTGCAATATCTTTTATTATGCGAAAAAAAAGACGTAATAAGGGAAATTTGGTTATTAGATGGTACCCATCGAAGAATTCGAAGCATCGTTTCAATTCATGCAAGAATGTGCCCAATATTTTCTCGAAGTTAAGGACAAGGATGTGAAACATGCTTTAGCTGGTCTATTTGTCGAAATCCTTGTTCCTGTTGCTGCGGTAAGATACCCTTGGTTTCGCGATTCTCCCTTTTCTAATAAGCGTCTAAAAAAATTTATTAATTATTATTATTAATTTTTTTTTTTTTGTTGATTTTGAAGGCTGTGAAAAACGAAGTAAATGTGCCATGTTTAAAAAATTTCGTCGAAAAACTTTACCCACAAACGTTGGACATGTGCATGAAATCGAAACACCGTTTAGCGTTATTTCCTTTGGTAACTTGCCTGTTATGCGTCAGTCAAAAAAATTTTTTCCTACAAAGTTGGCATTGCTTTTTGGCCATGTGTTTGCAACATTTAAAAAATCGGGATCCGAAAATGTGCCGAGTTGCTTTAGGTACGAATTTTTTTTCCTTTTTTTTTTTTCAGCCATTTTTTTTTTCAGAATTTATTTAAATTTTTTTATTTTTTTTTGTTTGTTTTAGAATCTCTTTTTCGCCTTTTATGGGTGTATATGATTCGTATAAAATGCGAAAGCAATTCAGCCACTCAATCACGATTGCAAAGCATCGTGAATTCTCTTTTTCCCAAAGGATCGAAAACGGTCGTGCCCCGTGACACTCCTTTAAATATTTTCGTAAAAATAATTCAATTCATTGCACAGGAAAGGTTAGATTTTGCCATGAGAGAAATAGTTTTTGATTTGTTATCAGTTGGAAGACCAATAAAACTTATACTGACCCCCGAGAGAATGAGTATCGGTCTGAGAGCCTTTCTCGTAGTTGCGGATAGTTTGCAGCAAAAAGAGGGCGAACCTCCCATGCCCAGAACCATGGGAGTTTTACCTTCCGGTAATACACTTCGAGTCAAAAAAACATATTTGAATAAGGTCGGTGAATACAATTTAATTTGGAATTTAAAAAAAAAAAAATTTTAAACCTTAAAATTTTTTTTTTTTTTTTGTCGTGCAGATGCTTACCGAGGATACTGCTCGAAGCATCGGAATGTCTGCTTATTTCCCACACGTTCGAAGGGTTTTCGTTGATATTTTAAGAGCTTTGGACGTGCACTACGGTAGACCATTAATGATGACCAACACGCAAAATCTCAACAAGGTAATCTTTTTATTTATTTTATTTTTTTTTCGAAAAAAAAAGTTTTTAATTTTTTATTTTACCTGTTAGGAACCCGATGAAATGATTACGGGTGAAAGAAAACCGCGAATAGATTTATTTCGTACTTGCGTGGCGGCTGTACCGCGTTTGATACCCGACGGAATGACGGGTGTGGAGCTAGTAGACCTATTATCGAGATTGACTGTTCATATGGACGAAGAACTAAGAGCTTTAGCGTGTCAAAGCCTTCAAACATTAGTTTTAGATTTTCCAGACTGGCGACAAGACGTGATTTGGGGTAAAAAAAAAAAAAAAAAATTTAGAAAAATTTCGATTCTTTGCGAAATGATACATATTCGTTTATTAAGATCAAATTGTTTTTTTTTTTTTATATTTGAGGATTTTCACAATTTCTCGCAAGGGATGTTCAAGATACTTATCCGCAATTGGTCGACAACGGTTTGAGAATGCTGCTTCAACTTCTTACTTGTTGGAAAAATGCTTTGACGTCATCTTCCGGTCGCACTCATAAAGACGTCGTCGATGGTTCGCGGACGCTCACCAAAGAATGTCCAAGTGCTAGAAAAACTGATTTAACGGTAAATTTATTTATTTCATAATTGATTTTTTTTTTACGTGAAGAGCCTTTTTTTTCATTTTCATCCCCTTTCACTTGTAGCGAGCTGATAACGTTTGGAGCATGTTTCATCTCGTCGAAGGATTGGCCTTAGTCATGTTATGCCAATGTCGATTATGTCCTCGACGTTTATCCGTTCACATTTTGAAAGAAGTTAAAAATCTCCTGAAAGTACTCAATTACCCGGAAAATGACGTTGATTTACCCGCTATCGATATCATCGATAAGTGTTGCCCTCACGTCGTGGAAAAATGTTTGGGAGTTTTACCGCCGGCAGAAAAATCTGCCGTACTTGCAGCGTCCAACATCGATCTTCAATGGATCGCCGACAGGAGTTCCAGCATTTGGACAGCCGGATTTCAAGATGAAAGCAGTTCTAAGAGTTCTTCGACGTTCAATTTAAACGGTGCCGACCCGTGGAGTTTTTGTTTATTCGAATTCATGGATAAAAACAGGGTTTTAAAGTACTGTTCGTCGGCCATCATGCACTCTTGGCCGATCGTTTACACTCGGCTGAACGCTTTGTATCCCGTCATAGATCCAACGTAAGTCCGAAAACGATTTTTTTTTCCCCATGAAATAAAATTTATGCATTAAAACGACCATCTGTTTTTTTTTTTTTTTTTGGCAAACCAAAACAGGCCGGTCAACGATAACAGAGCTTCGTTACTGAGAAGTTCCACGACGGTAAAAAAGCCGGTCAACGAGAGAGATGTTTACATGCACGCATGGAAAAATTATGTGACATTTGCTTTTAGAGTTATTCCACAAGTGCCAAATCCCGTGGTGAGATGCGCATCTCCAGATTTTAGCTTAAAGTAATTGCATAACAAAAATTTTACATTAACAAAAAAAAAAAGATTCGACAGGAATTTCTACGAAAATTCGATTTTTTTTTATCCAGGGAAGAATTGATAATTCTTAGTTCTTCGTTAACGTCTACTTTCACCTCGTCGTCATCTCCGGATTCTTTGACGGCAGAAAAAAGCGACGGCGTTAAAAGTGGAAACATTTCGCCGACGTCTTTGTACAAGTTGGTCGTTCCTCTTTTGAGATGCGAAGCCGTTGACGTGAGAGATGCTGCGGTTCACGCTCTTGGGAGAATCAATGCGGAAGCTCTCAAGTGAGAATTTTAAAATAAATAAATTTTTATTTGTGCATTCGAAATAAACTTCCGGCAAATAATTTTATTTATTTATTTATTTTATTTTTTTTAAAGGGATTTAATGGATGAATTATTGATTTACGTTCGCGAAGCCGTCGACAGGAAACAGGAAAATATGAGAAGAAGAAGGAGACGTGATGCGTTGCGACTTCAGCTCGTTCGAGTGTTCGAATTGATTGCGGAAAACGTTTTGGACAAAGATACGTTATCGTTGCATTCGACGTTCATCGAATTCATCGATGGGGCTCGTCTCTTTTTGGAAAGCGAATCCGAAAAAGACGTGAAAGCATTGCAAGACATAAAACTTCACTTTTGCAATTTCGTTAGGAAAATGATAAAAAATTTTCCCCGTGAGTGGTGTTGCCAAACCGTAATTTTCGTTCGATGATGATGATGAAAATGATTTTTTTCCTTCCTTCCTTCGCAGTTGAAACGTGTCAAACTCTGCTGAGAAGAGATTTGAGGAGTAATTTGTTCACTCTGTTGGGTAGTTGGAGCGGAAAATTCGGTCAGGCTTTGGGCATATCGTCGGCTTCGTTGGACGAAAAACCCGGTTCCGAGTTGCAGCTCTCCGTACTTCAAGCCATGAGTGCTTTACTATGTTGCGGTCCTTGTTTCAATCCTTCCGGTCTGGCAGAAGATGGATCTTTATATTCTTGGTTGGACTTGCTCCTCGCGTCGAAAAACGAAAAAGTAATATATCTTTTCTTGCTTTTAAATGCCAACCAGAAAAGCCGCAATTTTTAATTTTTATTTCTCTCTCTCTCTCTCTCTCTTTCGTAGATTTATCAACTCGGTCGAGAAACTGTAATTCTCTTACTGGAATGCAATTCTGACATCGGTCCTTTATTGGATTGGGTCGTCGACAGATGTTACACGGCGCCGCCGGAAGTAGCTGACAGTTGTTTCTCCGCTCTTGCCACGATATTCAGCGTAAGGTAAAAATAAAGCAATATTTTTAAATTTTTAAACAAAAAAAAAAAGGGAAAAAAAATTTCCATGGGGTTTTGTTTCGATTCGAAACGTTTCGTTTTTCACTCTCCATTTTCGAAATTTTTGCTTTTTTCTTTTCTTTTCAACGAAAAAATTTATAATTTAATTTCTCGTCTAATAAAATTTAATAACCGTCTTATTTTCTCTTACCTGGAGGTTTTTTTCTCTTTTCGCGTTCGGGGAAAAAAAAAAAAAAAAAAATTTTTCTTTTCATTTTTTATTTTATTTTATTTTACTTATTCGTTTCGTTCCATTAAGAAAAAAAAAAAAAATTAACTCGTATTATGTTTTACTACTTTGAATTCTCGCATTTCTTTATTTTAAAAAAATTATTAATGCTCTTTATTGTTATTTCCTTATTTTCTCTCTCTCTCTCTCTCTCTCTGTTTCTCTTCGCTTTTTATCCCGCCCCCCCCTTTTTTTTTTTTTCACTTTCAAAAGAAACGAAAGAAGGACAATTGCGTCGGGGGTGTGTGAGAGGAAAAGGGAAAATAATTTAAATGGATGAAATTTTAATCCTTTGTTTTTTTAATTTTTTAGAAATGTATCATGATGATAATGATAGTAGTAGTGATAATAATAATGATAATGAAGGTATTAGAAAGGGTGCAAGGGGAGGTTGTCGGGACTTGTTAGGTTTTCCTTTTTTTTTTTTTTTTTTTTTACGAATAAAAAGTCGAGTCGTAGGAGTAAAATATCATTTTTGATATATGTAAATTTTTTTTTGTTTGTTTTCTCCCAACCTCCCCCCTCTTTCGGCCTCCCCGGAAATGTTTTCCGAGTTAAGGTCAGGTCTAAGAAAAAAATGCATTTACAATATTTACTAAGAAAAAAAAGAGGAAAAAAAAAGGAAAATGGTAATATTGAAGTTTGAACGGTTTTGTTTTTTTTTTTGTGTCGATGGAAATGGGCTTTGGGGGGAAGTGCGGCGGAGTAAATAATAAATGTTTATTTGCTGATTTTGCGTTCTTTCCTCATTTTATGTTTAACTTTCGACTCCATTTTTTTTTCTCTCAATGGCAACGGGAAATACCATTTAAATATCGGTTTAAGCTTAAGGATTCAAAAAAAAAAAAAAAAGAAAAAAAAGTCGTTAACGACGGGAATTATTACTCGTTATGTTGGCAACACTCGCTTTTTTTTTTTTTTCAATTGTCGTGATGATAATAAAGAAAGGGTTGATGCCATTGTTGTTGTTGTTGTTGTTGTGGTTATTTTTCCCCTCTCTCTTTCTCTCTCTTTCTAGTAAAAAAAAAAAAAAAAACGAGATTCGGGATGGAAAATAACACGGAAACGGTTATTTTTATTTTTTTTACAATTGGAAAAAATATGTTTTAGACATATCGAACGACAACAAAAATTTTAAATTTAATTGTCCAGGACTGGAGAAAAAAAAAAAAAAAGACAAAAAAAATTTCTTTTCTTTGTCGTATTTTTACAAAAAGGGGGAGTAGTCACGACTCGATCGAAAATAATTGAGAATCGGTCAAATAAGTTTTTGTCTCTCTCTCTCTTTTTGTCTCTGATTAAATTTATCCTTTTAGACGAAATGTTTGTTTTTTCATTTCCCGTTAAGAAAAAAAAAGAAAACTATTTCCGGTAAGAATTTTTAATCGAGTAAACATGTTCGCGTGCGATCGATTTTAAAGAAAAAAAAATGCAAATTTTCTTGGTTTCCTTTCAGGTTGCATTTCCGGTTTTTTTTTCCAATGGCGTCCGTCGAAATTTCATTCTTTTCTTTTCTTTTTTTTTATACAACATTTCAAAAAAAAAAAAAAAAAAAAAAGTTATTTGTTTTAATTATAAAAACGTCCGAATCGATTTATCGCTCTCGAAATAATTCGTGTATGTAATTTTGTTTGACAAAACGTCGAAACAATCGTGTGTCGTGCATGGATTTTCATTTTTTAAATTTTTTTTTTTTTTTCTCCTAAACTCGTTTCCGGTTTTTCAAGGTTTTCCCTTCCGTTTTATTTCTTTTGTATTCATTTTTACAATTTCAATGTTTATCATTCCACGAAAATTCATTTTTTTTTTTTTTTTTTTTTTTTTTTGTTGTTATAAAAGGAAAAACTTGGTCGAAAGGCAGTTGTTGTTGTGTTTGTTGTTGTTGTTGTTGAATTTGAAAAGAAAACCATCGCTGAGAGTGGTTTATATATATTTTGTTTTTTCCCGATGAGAGATTTTGTTTGTACTGGCCGTATGATAAACAAACGAAAATAATGACAAACAAACGTTTTATATTTACTTACGCCCCCTCGCCCGCCCCCGGGAAAGAGTTTTATATAAAAAAATATAATAAAATATTTGTTTTCGATCGATTTTTTGTTTGTTTGTTTGAGGGAGGGGAGAGGGGGCAACAGGAAAAAGAATGAAAAAGGTTTTTTTTTTTTAACTCTCCTGTTTGTTGTTGTTCTTCATGTACTCGTTAAAAAAGTTTTTAAATGAAAAAAGGGAAAGAAAAGGGAAGAAGGGAAAAATTTACGTGGCGTTTGTTGTTGTTGTTGTTGTGATTTTTGTTTTGTTTGAATATTCTGAGGAGAAATTTGTTTTTTTTGTTGTTGTTGTTGTTTTCCCCGACCAAACGAGAAAAGGTGTCGAATTGCACCGGAAAACAAACGTTTAAACAGGAAGTTAATCCGCAGATAAACACGCTTTGAAAGAAAACTTTTTTCTTTTTTATTTTTCCGAGGTGTTTTTTGTTTTTTTTTTTTTTTTTGATTTTATTTTTATTATTATTATTTTCCAATAATTTGTTTATTTCTCAATAAGTTTCCCCCATTTCCTCCCCCCCTCTTTCCCCCTATCATCTTCCTCGATTTGTATTTTATTACGTATTAAAAACAAAAGAAAAAAAAAAGTTAATAAAAATGAGAGTCGAAAGATTGGCTGGAAAAGAAAGAGATAATTTTTTTCTTCCTTTTTATTTAAATTGGAATAAGTAGAGTATGTATATGGTTTTATTTTTCCCTTTCCTTTTTTTTCCGGAGAAAAAGGAAAAAGGTTTTTTTTTTTATTCCTTTCAAAGAAAAAAGGAAATTTAAAAATGCTCTTATCAAAAGTCAAAAAAAAAAAAAAAGTAGGGAAAAAGAAAAAGGAAAGAAAATAAAATTTTGTTTTTTTTTTCTTTTTTTCTCTCTCCACATTCCGTCCTTTGCTTCCTTCCTTCCTTCCTTTTTGGCCCCCCAAGAAATGTTTTTTTTTTTTTTTTTTTTTTACTTAAAATCTTCGTTTCGCATAAAATATAAAGTTTACCTAAGATTATTCGATTGTGAGAAAGAGAGAAAGGGAGGAAGGAAGGAAGAGACAAAAAGAAATGGGGGGAAATTTTTTTTTCTTTAGTCTCTTTTTAGGGGGGGGGCAGGGAGAGCAGGGAATATAATATATTAAAAATTTGGAACGATTTTTTAATAACGTTTTAAAAAATTAAAAAAGAAAACGATGGGTTGGAATGTAAGAAATAGGGGGGGGGGGTAGGGTAAAGGTGAGAAAAGGAAAAGATTAAAACACCTGGAGTTTTTTTTAAAAAAGAAATTACTCGTCGCGTCGCGAAAGAAACATCAAAGTCCTAAAATTAAATAAAAAAAAAGGAGGGGGAAGAAGAAGGTGGGGAGGCGGAGGGGGGGCAAAAAAATTATTAATTAAAAGTAAATATGTATAATTTAAAAAAAAAAAAAAGAAAAGTCTTTGAAAGTTGCGTGCGGGACAAAACCTTGAGCTGTAGAAAAGAAAAAAAAGGAAAAAAGGGGGAAAAAAAAGGAAAAATTTTTTTTTAATTAAAAAAAAAAAGCGACGAAAGTTTTCTTTCTCTCTCTCTCTCTTTCCTTAAAGTAAAAAGTAAAAATGGGATGGAAGGGGAGGGAAGAGAAAGAGGAAAAAAAACTAGACGAAACTTTTTAAAAAGTCGCGCGTAAATTTTTTTTTTTTTCCTTTTTGGCTTTCCTTCCTTTGATTTCCAAAAAAAAAAAAAAAAAAAATTCAAGAGAAACTTTTCAGACCCTGGCATAGTTTTCCTCTCTTTCTCCCCTTTTTTTTTTGTCTCTCTTTCTCTCTCTCTCTCTCTCTCTCTCTCTCTCTCTCTCTCTCTCTTTTCATCTCGTTATGTTAATTCGCGGGTTGAAAGTTTTTTTTTTTTTTTGTTTTTGATGCTGTCGTCGTCATCGTCGTCGTCGTCGTCGTTTTAATTATTTATTATTGCTGTTGTCCGTGTTTTTGTTTTTTTTTTTTTTTTTTTGTTAACGACAGCATTGTTGTAGTAGGAATCTGTGGGGGGGGGGAAGCGTGCTGGATTATTATTATTATTATTATTATTATTATTATTATTATTATTATGATCTTTATTATTCTCCCATTTTTTTTTTCGTAATGAACTTTTACGATTGTTTTATGTTTTTATGTTTTGTTTTTGTTTTTTCTTCTCCTTCAGGGAATATCCTTGCGATCATTACACGGCCATAATTAACGTGACACTGATGAACACGGGATGTCCGAGAACGCAAGTTCACGAGACGGCACTTCAACTCCTTCAGATATTGGACAAGAGATTTTTTGGAAATGTCGGACCCCTCGTTTCGGAGAACGACACCGGAGGAGGTAAGTGAAACGTTTTTCGTTTTTTTTTTTTTTTTCTTTCTTTTGCTGCTGCGTCGGGAATGTTTTTGAAAGTTTTTCGTGTGGATTTTCCGAGTCGTTTGTTTCCAAAAGAAATATTGTGTAAGAGAAAAAAACAAATTGATAATAATAATAATAAAAATTGATGGGAAATTTTTTTTTTATTTGTTTATTCGTACTTTTCGCGAGTGCCCGCGCACACACGCACGCACACACACAGTGATTTGGATGATTTTATTTTTTTCTGGATGAACTGCAAACCGGGAGGAAAATCGTAAAAAAAAAAAGGAAAAAAGTTTTCAATGAGAAAACGTTCGAACGTCATTTTCCGGCCATTCAATCAAAGTCGGTTTTCGTTTTACTCCACCTTTTTTTTTTTTTGTTTTTGTTTTGGTTTTTTTTTGCGGGGAGGGGGGGAGAGGTAAGCGTAATGAGATAGGAATATATATTTATCGTACTTTACGTCTGGATTCAAAATTAAAGAGAAAATATTTCAACTCGAAATTATTATTACACATTGTAAAAATGTTTTCATCGTTTAGTCAAAATATTTTTTTTTTTTTTTTTTAATATTATTTTCGTCTCGCCGGCGAGAATTTCTTTGGGATTTTTTTTTTCGTCTCTCTCTCTTTCTCTCTCTCTCTTTTGCCTCTCTCTCTCTCTCTCACTGTTGGTTTTTTCATCCGTTTTAAATTGAAATGATTTATTTACTTTGTTCTTCTTCTTCTTATTTTTTTTTTTTTTATTTATTGCCTTCAAAAAAAATTTTTTTTGATATACTCGCCGTTTGTTTAAGAAAAAAATTAATGAAAGATTTCGTTCGGGTTTTTTTTTTTTTCTACTGACACGTTAAAATCCTTTTTACTTTCCCTAACAATGAGGGGGGGAAAGAGGGATTAAATGATTCGACGTAAAAATTTGTTTATGACGACGACAAAAAAAAAACAAACAAACACCGTGTCGAAATTTGTTGTTTTTTTTTTTTTTTTTTCAATTTAATTTCAAATTATTAATTGTACGATCAAATAAAGTTTTGTTTGTCAAAAACAAACAAACGAACAAACAAAAACAAAAGACAAACGATTTTATTCAATTTTCGACATATTTATTTTCAATAACATAAATTCGAAAGGAAGGTGTTTTTTTTTAAATGGAAAAACTCGTAAATATTTTTTTTTATATGCCGCACTACGAAACGAAAACCTTAATAAATTTTTTCCAGAACCATCCGAGAGAATAAAATAATAATAATGATGATGATGATGATAATAATAATAACGATTATAATTTTTGTTCCCATTCTCGGTTGTTTTTTTTTTTTTTATTATTATTCTTTCGCTCCCTTCTTTTCTTTCCCGTTTCTTTTTTACTTTTTTACTTTTTTCTTTTCGAGTTTTTACTTTTTCCTTTTTTTCTTTTTGAGTTTTTAATTTTTTCTTGCCGAGATCTACCTTTCAGATTTTTTTTTTATGTGTGTCAATCGGAATTATTTGTCAATTTTTTTCTTTTACGAAATATTTAAAAATTAAATTAATTTTCCTTTCGCACGAAAAAAACAAAAAAAGAAAATTTATTTTACCCGAGTCATCATTTATTTATTTGATACGATTTCGGATAGGGTGAAAGAGAGGACAAAGGGGTAGAACGAAAGACGGGGGAAAACGGAGGGGAAGAAAAGACATTTTTTGAAAATTTAAACATGACAAATGAGCTTCTTTCCTTTCATTATTTATTTCTCAACGGGTTTAAAAAAAAAAAAAATATATATATATATATATATATACATATATATAGAAGTACATAAATCAAAAAGAAACGAAAGGAAAAATTAATCGGCTTTTAAAAAAAAAATTTTCCACCCGGAAATTGTTTTCCCAAAAAAAAAATCGCAAAGAAGGCAAAGAAAAAAAAATGACGCTTAAAAAAATTTTTTTTGTTTTTTTTTTTTTTACGGTTCTATAATTAAACGAATTTTGGGGGGGCGGAGAGGGAGAAAGGAGAGAAATTTTTTACCCTTGAACGAACGCGTCAAATTTGATTAGACACTCGGACACCCAAGAAAGATTTAAATCGTTAAATGATAACCGGTGAGGCGATAAAAGAAGAGAAGGCGTCAAGATGGGACAAAAAAACGAATAAAGAAGGGGAGGGGAGAATAGGGGGAGGGGTAAGGGGAAAGGACAATTGGGGGGAACAAACAAAAAAAGAAAGAAAGAAAAAAAAAACTCGACAACGTGCATTATTATCATTATTTATATATATATATATATATATATATTTATTTATTTACTTATTTAAATTTGTGTTTTTACCCCGAGAATAATAATAATAATTTATTTATTTATTATTATTATTATCATTATTATTATTATTTATAATAAAATACGAAAGATTCAATAAGGAAAATTATGCACAAAAATATATATATATATATATATATGTGGTAATATTATTACAACAACAACAACAATAATAATAATAATAATAATAATAATAATAATAATAATAATAATAATAATAATAATAATAATAATAATAATAAATGATCGGTTTTAACACACATGACGTAATGTCCCTGTGATGACGTGTATTTCCGCCATATTTGTTTTTTTTTCGAACGTTTGTTTGTGTTTTTTCCTTTTTTCTTTTCGTGTTTGATCGGAAAGGAGGGGGGGAATTATTGACGTATCCATTCCGGGGGACTGGACTCGAATTGTTGTCGTATTTTCCCCCTTTTTTTAAATCATTGGGAAAGCGGGAGAAGTTCGTGAGCTTCCCTGAGGGATCCGTTCAGTGTTATCGTCCTCGGTCTCGTCGACGTTGATCGTCCGAATTCCGACACGACTGAAAACACAAAAAAAAAAAAATTAAAAATTTTTTCTTCACGTGAGGGGGAGAAAAAGGCGTTAGGGAGGGAGTCGGGGGCGGGGGCGGGAACGAATTTGTCAATAGTCGAATATTTAAATTTTAACGACAAAAATAATCAAAATTTAAAAAAAAGTTAAAAGACGAAAAAATTATTTTTATTATTATTATTAATACTTTTTCTCCCTTTTCTTTTTCTCTTACCTGTAACCGGAAACGCGGTTAAAGCTTTCCGTTCGGTTTTCACGTAATTTTCGTAAATTACTTCGGTTTGGTTTCGATGAGAGAGAAAGGAAAAATTTAAATTTTACCCCTATTCCTCTTCCCCTCCCCTCCCCTCCCCCAAAATAAAAGAGAAGAAGAAGAAAAAGTTTTCTAAATTTCGTTTTTGTTTTATTTCAAACGATAATATAAAAGAGAGAAAGAGAAAGAGAGATAGAAAATGTTGGTTTTTAGAGATTTTGTTTTGTCGCTCCCATAATCCGAATGCTTAATTTAATAAATTTAATGTAATGATGATGATGATGATGATGATGATGATGATGATAATAATAATAATAATAACAAGAAAGAAATTTTTAACATCCCTTTATATGTTTACCTTAAAATATATATTTTTGCAAATTTTTTTTTTTTTTTTTTGCTAACGTTACTAGTTCTTTTCCCATTTAAAAAAAAAAAAAGCAACATTATCAAAAAAAATTTTTTATTTTATTTTTAAGATTTGCGTTTGTTTTAACAACGACAACGACAACCGCGAAACAAAAACGTTTTTTTCCATAGGTCGGATCGATTTCGTCGTTCGCGTCACGACTTTAAAATTTTTTTTCGATTGAATATTTTTTTTTTTTTTTTTTTTATTAAAACGATGATAATCGAAATCGAAATCGTGGTCGATCGATACGCGGATCACATTTCGATTTTTTATCGATTGTTTTCGATCGATCTTTTGCGATGAATGAAAATGAAAAACGTCACTTTCAAAGTCTCAAGTTTGAACGAGTTTTAATTTATTAATTTACTTTTTTTATTAAAAAAATTATTATTATTATTGAAAATTATCACCGTATGGTAATCGGAAAAAAAGTAAATTAAAACCGGAAACCGGAACGAGCAGATTCGAATCGAATAAGAGACGAGAGAAGGGGAGAAAAAGAGAGAAAGAGAGAGAGAGAGTGGGGGAAAAAAGGATTTTAAAATTTTATTGCAGATGGAAAAAGAAAAAAAAAAAATGATTTTTTATTATTGTTGTCGTTGTCGTTGTTGTTGTTGTTGTTGTCGCCTCCCATCGTTTATAATAATTCTATTTTACCTTTATAAATTAAAAACGGAGGTATTGAAAATTAAATTAAATTAATAAAAAAAATAATAATAATAATAATAATATGGTTCGAATTAATGTTGATAAAATTACTTTGCGAAAATTTTAAAAGTTTTAAATAACAAAAAGAAAAACAAAATCAATTTTTATCATTATCATTTTCATCATCATCATTATTATTATAGTTACTTTTGAACACGACAAGCTTTTATATATTTGTCGGAGTTTTTAAACATTTATTTCAGGTTTATTATTATTATTATTATTGTATCACTCGCGATAGATGCACTAAAAAAAAATTTAAAAAAATTTCTTTTCTTTCTTTCTTTCTTTCTTTCTTTCTTTTTACTTTTTATTTTTTCCAAGATATGTAATGAAATAAAATAATTTAATTGTCAGTTATTAGTTTAATATTGAACAATAACAACAAACAGAAAAAGAGAGAGAGAGACAGACAGAAAGAGAGGCGCGCTTACACACTCACACACACACACGCACACATAGACATAGACAGACAGACAGAAAGAGCGGAAAATAAGAAAAAAAAAAAAAAGTTTTTGTTGTGTAATTTGAAAGAAAAAAGAGTTGGAAAATGTATAAATTTATAGTACTTCGCATTCGAAAACATTATGTAGGGGGGGGGGTGCGCATAAAAAACAAACGAAGAAACAAACAAACAAACGAACGAACGAACGAACAAACGAATCGAAACGTTTTGAATTGTAATAAATAAAAGCGAAATGAGAAATCAATTCGAGAAAATTATTATTATTATTATTATTATTATTATTATTATTATTATTATTATTTCATTTTTAAACGCGGCGAGATTTTTATTTGTCGGAATGTTTTTAAGCATTTATTCCAGGTTTCTACCTGATTCCTTAGGGATAAATGCTCCAATATCAATTATGCTATCTATGACTTCCTATTATTTCTATTGTTCTCAGTGCTCCCACGATGACCGGAAATCGTTTCTGTTTTTAGTCTCTGGCTGTTTCAATTTCCAAATTTTTATACTTCAACCTTTGTCTGCTCCTTTGGCTGTCCTTGGCTGTTTTTTTTCGGAGGATGATATCCGGTTTGTTAGCTGGCACAGTTCTATCAGTGTGGATTTGTTGATCATATAGAACTGTGCATGGACCTACTGTCGTAACCGGGCTTGGAATGTGGTTGTACCACTCCTTGGGTAATCCATCCATTTCATATTCGCGACATATATTCCAGTGGAAATGTAGACAAATATTATTGTTCCACTTTAGGTACATCACGTTTTGCAGATATCGGTCAACCGGAAATTAAGTGATCGATTGTTTACATTTATTCGGTTTATCATTAGCAGACGATAAAATATTTTCTTTTCGTTTTTTCACGAATTTAAAAGTTTTTTTTTTCCTTTTTTTTTTTTTTCTTCTTTACTCCAGACTTTTTATTCCGCTAATCGAAACGTCGTCGTCGTCGTCGTCGTCGCCGCCGCCGCCTTGAAAGTCTGGAGAAGTTAAATTGCCGATCGTAAAATGTTTTTTTTTCCCCTCCTTATTGTGTGTTTGTGTAACGTGACTTTTCCTTTTCCGAACGTTTAGTTTTTCCGTTCGTCTCGTTCCCTTCCCCTTCCTCCCCACTTTTTTTTTAAAGAAAGAAAGAGGGAAAGAAAAACATTATTGTAAATCATTATTATCGTTATTAATATTATTATTATTATTATTATTATTATTATTATTATTATTTCTTTGGTACGACAAAAAAAAAACGACGGATGCGGTTTTTATTTTCCAGGTCGTCCCATCGTGTAAATAGAAAAAAAAAAAAAAAAAAAAAAAAAACGGAACTCCCTCGGTGCCGATTGAAAAAAATAAAAATAAAATACGATTCGTGCCGCTTGCATGGAGAAAAAAAAAAAAAACGTCAAACTTTTTAAACGGTTTTTTCTTTATCTGGCTCAAAGTTTCAAACCGGATATAAATACAAAAGTTTGGGTTTAAAATGTTTTTCCTCTTTCTTTCGTTGTTTCTTTTCCCCCCCCTTTTCTTCCTTCCTTTCTTCCTTCTCTTATTCCGGAAGTGGTAGTCTTTCCGAAAAAATTTTCTGTTTTGCGGTCATTTTTCATAAAAATCTTACACGAGTACGTTTGGAATTTTTCCGTTATTAAAAATTAAATTAAATAATGATGATGATGATGATGATTTTGCATGCTTTGAAATTTTGTTGTTGTGATTTGATTAATGTTCAGTCTACCGGAAATGGTTTTTTTTTGTTTTTTTGTTATGGAATAAAATTTGTCAAGAAAATTTCATTTATCGTGTTTAAAAAGTGTTAAATGCAGCATTAAATTTCAAAAACTGAATAATAATGATAATAATAAATTTAATTTTTGAAAGAGTGGAGTGTGGGGATGGAGGGGGGTCGAAAAAGGCATGTTCGATACAGTTTTATTATTATTATTATTATTAATATTATGTTACATTTAAAAGGATTTTTTTGTTTTTTTCGTTGAAGGCTTGAAGGGTCCTCATCAACCTGAGGGGTGTTGATAATCGCATCGTTTATGGTTCTCAATTCGGGAATTAATTTTAAACGGGTATGGGGAAGGGGGAGAAGTGAGTGCAGATTTTGTGGCATTTTCGCGCTGGAAGGAGGCTTTTGATTTTGTAAAAATTAAAATGGCGTTAATAAAAAGTTTTGCGTTCGGTATACGAGAAGATAAATGGATAAATGAAAAGATAAAAAGGAAAGGGGAAGAAGAGAGAGAGAGTGTGAGAGAGAGTGAGAGTGAGAGAGAGAGAGTGTGTGTGTGAGAAAGAGTGAGAGAGAGAAAGTGGTTGAGAAAAATTTTTGAGAGCTTAATTTTTTTAATTATTATTTTTCATTACCTTTTATTACCTTTGTCTTTTTTGTTTCTATTTCTCTCTCTCTCTCTCTCTTTATCTTTCTCTCTTTTTCTCTTTGTATTTTATGAATTCATTTTTAACGTGTTCGAAAAAAAAAATGTGGTAAAAATTTGTTGAGATTTTTTTATATTTTTTCCGAATGATTCGATTTTTAATAAATAATTTGACAGAGAAATTACGTCATTCATTACGTCATTCGCGAGAATTTTGGCGGGTATTTTAAACTCCTTTTTTTTTTCTTTATTTCATCGTAATTTTTTTCCCCGAAAAAAAAAAATTTTATTCGAGTCTCGTGAAATGGGAAAATTTAAAATTCAAAACAAACGCGATTGTAAATTTTTACAAGGTAGATGTAAATAATAAAAAGAGAAAGAAAAAGTGAAAAAGAAACAAACAAACAAAATCTATGAGTATACCTGATGAAAATAACAATGAAGGAAGGAAGGAAAAAAAAAAAGATAGAAAGTGACAGAAAAAGGTAAAAAATTTCAACAAATAAAAAAAGGAAAAAAAGGAAAAAATTAATTGAAAAAATTTAAATTGGAGATGACACGAACGCGTTTCAACGCGTTCGTAATGAGGTCATGCAAAATAATTTTTCCTTTGACGATGTAAAATTAAAAAAGAAAAATCAGGTGGGAGGTACGTGCGCGGATAAACGAAGAAGAAGAGGAAAGAAAGGAAATTAAGATGATGATGATGATGATGATGATGATAATAGTAAAAGGATATGGAAAGTTTTTACGGAAATTCGAAGCGTTCATTCATAATGAGAGACCCGATGAAAAGTTGGAACGTTTGGTTGAAAAATTTTTTTTTGACGGGTGAATAAGACTCGCCATTCATAAAAAAGTGAAAATGATGATGATAATGATGATGATGATGATGATGATGATGTCAATGATGTAAAAGACGACGAAGATGTAAGTGACAAAAGGAAAGAAGAACAACCTGGTTTGCGAATAAATTTTTTTTTTGTTTTTAAATTATTGAAAAATTGACAAAGGATTCCGACTTTTGAAATATATTTTAAATCTTGGAATAAAAAAAAAAAAAAAACCGGAAACGGAAAAAGAAAAAAAAAGACGGGAGGGAAAATGTAATTTTTTTTCCTTTTTTATTGTTTTTTTTTTTTTTTTTTTTTTGTTCAATTTTGTGACAGGGAAAAATTTTTTTTTTTTCCGTCTCTCTCAATTCGAAATATGGTGTTACATAGATCAATTCGAAATCTCTCCCTCTCTTTCTTTCTCCCATTCTCTATCTCTCTTTCGTTTTTTATGTTGAAATAATTCGAAATGAAAAGATAAAAAAAAAAATATTGGAATAAGAAATGGGGCAAAGGAAAAAAAAATAGAAAACGGATGCGGATCCGGAAAAATGAAAAAAAAAAAAAAGCGGAAGTTGTTTCGTTTCCTTTCGATTTGTAAAAAGTCAATTTTTTTTTTTTTTGTCGGGGCGATAAAGAAAACTTAAACGTCTTTTTTTAAAAAAAAATCTAGTCGTTTTAGCATTTACTTCCGGTTCTGGAAAATAAATTTTTCATTTTATTAATAATTTTTACCGAGGTTTTCACAACCGCCAATATTGAAAAAATCAAGATTTTTCCCACCGCTGTCGTCGCCACCGCCACCGCCATCACCATCATCGGAATGACGACGAAAGGTTTTTCGTGTAACGAAATTTAAATTAAAAAAAGTTCAAAGTTGAAATTTTCAATAATAAAAGGTTGAGAAAAAGGGTTTTTAAATGAAAAGTTTTGTACCTTTTCTTTTTATTTCTTGGAAAAAGTTTTACGTTTTATGATAATAAATAATATTTTTTTTTTTTTTCGTTTCTTTTATCCTGACCGGGAAGTAAAAGCCAAATAATAATAACAATGAGGTAGTGAAAACGGAAACGATTTTGGGGTCGTCTTGGGAGATGAGCACTCGAGACCGACGCCGTGCCACATTCAATTACAAAAAAAGAAAATTTTTCTTAAGGAATCGAATAGAGTTTTTCCTGGTTAAACCGACAAGACCTCGATGTAAATTGAAAATAATAATAATAATAATAATAATAATAATAATAATAATAATAATAATAATGACAGGAAAAAGGGAAAAGAATATCCGACGAGGACGGCGACGATAATCGATGGTGGTGATGATGATGACAAAACGAATTAATGATATTATCATTTATTGATTTTTTAACGGTTAATTAAAAGGATTCGAATATGGGGGCGGGGAAAGTGATTGGGGGGAGGGGAGAGGGAAAATGGAATGGAATCTTCGTGTTTGATTTAAATCAAGTGGTGTGTGTATTAAAAAAAAAAAAACCGTTATTTAATTATCATTATACATCGAATTCATCATTATTATTTGATATTTATTTATACGTATAATTTGACTCTTGATTCCTTTGAGTCGTTTAACTTCCTTTGTTTAATTTCCTTTGTCGTCGTTTTCATTTATTTTCGATCGATGAATGAATTGTTTTTTTTTTTTTTTTTTTTTTTGGCTCTTTCGGGACTGTAGGAAGAGGGAGTAGTGGAAAAGTAAGAAAAAAAAATGCAAAACTAACGAAATTAGAGATTTTTCTAACGGTTATTTTTTCCTTTTTTCCTTTTTTTTATTACGAAACACCCACCTTTACTTTAACTTTACCTTTGACATTTACTCGAAAAGAAGTACGAACTGGAAGAAAAAAAAAATGACGGGGCAAAAAAAAAAAAAATTTTTTTTTTTTTCTTTTTTTCTTTGGCTTTTTTTTTTTTTTTTTTTTTTTAAATTTAATTTAATTTTGTTTGTTTTGTTTGTTTTTGTGGTTCTTTTGAACAAAAGTTCACTTGCCTGTCACTCTTGTCGTTTCGTTTGTTCTTTGCCTTCTCGGACAGCAGAGGCCCGCCAAAGCTTTTCTGAAATTCTGTCCACTCACGCAGTAAAGTACGAAGTTGATTCCAAAATTCGTGTGGAAGAGAATGAGAGAGGCGTGTTGCCACGCAATCATGTGATCCGAATGTGTTACAGTCTTCTGGAAAAGTAAAAGAAAACAAATCAAATGAAATCACCGTTAAATGGATTTTTTTCCTTCGTTCGTTTTGTTTTTATGACGTCACGAGTTTGAAATAACGAGATTCGAATCGACTTCAAAAGAAATTTTCCATTTTTTTCCCCTCCTCCTTATCCCCCTCATCCCCCCATTCTTTTGCCTCTATAGGTCATTTAATATTTTTTTAAAAAAGTCAATTTCGTTGTTTTATTTTTAAAATCACGTTTTTCACATATTTTTTTTTTCTGGTGCCACTTTTTGTGTGTGTGTGTGCAAACGAAAAAAAACGTTTCGACGTTTATAAATAATGTAACGATGATTTTATTAAATAATTCGAAGTGGGAGAAAAAGAGAAAAAAGGGGGATGGGAATTAAAGAGAGAATCGGTAATGCCAACTTTTGAAAAAAAATTTTTTTTTTTTTTTTTTAAATTAAAAACGCAGGAAAAATAAAATCGGGATTTTTGTATGAAAAAAAAAAAAAAGAAAATTGAAATATAAACGGTAACACGACGGTTGTGATGTCGTTAAAATGAAAAATAAAAAAAAATTTAATAGCAGAGTGAGAGAGAGAGAGAGAGAGAGATTGTGAAAGGAGATCGACTTGTTGCTTCCACGTTTTTTTTTTTTTTTACCCTTCACGTAAGGGGATGAAAGTTGAAAAAAAAACAATTTAGGATTTTTAATTGTTTGTCGGTTTTCGAGTCGGTTCAACAATTTTTTTTGTTTTTTTAGCAAACGATATTTTAAACGTTGCTTGTAAATTTTTCTCGAATCATCTTATTGGTTGTTTGTTTTGTTTACGGTTGTTGTAATCGTGTAGGAAGAACCGTTTTTTTCGTTCTTTTTAAATGTCACTCGATTGTTTTTTACGTGTAAATAATAAAAAAATTTTTTTTTTCATCTTCTTCTTCCGCTTTTCTTTTTTTTTTTATCTCATATGTGAAATAACGAAATTTAATTTTGTCGTCTTTCTTTCTTTTTTTCCTTTTTTCTTTTTCCTTTTCGCGTTCCTTTTTTTTCTTCGATTGTCTTTTTTTTCTTATTTTGTTAAAAGGAATGAAAACAGAAGAAAGACTCATTTCGAATGTTTTCACGCTTTCTTTTGTTTATTTATTTTTATTTTTTCCTTATTATTTGATCGTGTAAAAGAGGCGCGCATCATCTGGAACCACGTTTTTTTTTTTTTACTCTTTCTTTACTTCTTTTTCTTTACTTTTATTTCCAGCTCCCCTTGTAAATATTTTCTCGACGTGGCAAAAGTATTTTTTCGTCGTTTTTATTTTCAAATTTTCTTTTTTTTTTCCTTTTCTCCGAAACAATCCGTGAATGTTTCGAACCGACTGAACCTCAATTAAAATGCTTAATATTATTATTATTATTTCCACTATTAAACACGACAAGACTCTTATTTGTCGGGGTTTTTAAGTATTTATCCCAGGTTTCTACCCGATTCCTTAGGGACAAATACTCGAATTTCGGTGGTGCTACTTATAATATTTTCCGAAGAATGTGGGCCGTCCCACATAGTGCGATTTCCTGGATGGTTTCTTCTTTTAGGTTCTTCATAATCTTCTTTAAATTTCCTTTCATTGAATGTGGCATGGCTCCCAATGCTCCCACGATGACCGGAATCGTTTCTGTTTCTGTTCCCCACATCCTGGTTATTTCGATTTCCAAATTTCTATATTTCAGCCTTTTGTCTGCTTCTTTGGCTGCCTGGTGTTTTTTTCTGCCGGCACGGATACCTCAATTAACTTACACCATTTTTCCGCATTATGCCTGAGTATGATATCCGGTTTGTTAGCTGGCACAGTTCTATCAGTGTGGATTTGTTGATCATATAGAACTGTGCATGGACCTACTGTCGTAACCGGGCTTGGAATGTGGTTGTACCACTCCTTGGGTAATCCATCCATTCCATATTCTCGGCATATACTCCAATGGAGATATTGACATATTTTATTGTGCCTTTCTAAATATTCATGTTTTGCCAGTATCGGACAACCGGAAATTAAATGATCGATGGTTTCCGATTGAGATTGGCAAATTCGGCACTTGTCATCTTGGCGTTATTATTATTATTATTATTATTACTATTATTACTATTATTATTATTATTAACATTATCATTATGTTTTTTGTAATCGTACTTGAACGTAAGGAAAATTATTTTTTTTTTTTTTCACCTGACAAAAAAGACGAATTCGTTTCTGTTTGTTCGAAGCGTAACGAAAAATTTATTTTACTCAATTTTATTTTTAAATTATTAAATATGGAAACCGTTGAGAGAAAAACGTCGAAAGAAAATAAAAATGCGGGGGAGGGGGCGTGAAGGTATCGAAAACATTTCCAGATGAGGACGTATAATTTTTTACGGTCCCGATTATTCGATCGATTTGTTTTAATTTCGTTACCTTCGATTATAATCATCATCGTCATCATCATTCGATCACGACTTAATTAAAATTTTTTTTTTCTCGCAGGGGGAAGGGGAGGGAAGGAAAGAAGGGAATGAAGGGGGGGGGGCAAATTTAAATCTGAAAGCTCTATGATAGGTGAATGAATGAATAAAAAATGGATTTTCTAAATTTCTCAGGTGTTCTTCGGTAGTTCCTTTTTTAATAGACCGAAATAAATTCCTCTTCGGTCGTGAATTTTATTATTATTTTTTTTAACGGAAAACCAATTAAAACTTCAATTAATGCCTGATGACTTTCTAACCTTTTTTCCTTCCCCCCTCTCTTCATCCTCTTCCCCCTCTCTCCTCGCCTCCCCTATCTATCTCTCTTTTTCTTTCTCTCTTTTACTTTTTTCCCTCCTAATTCTCGCGTTTGAAATGAATTTTATTGTTTTGTTTTTTTTTTTTTTTTAAACGGAAAATTCAAGTTCTTGACATTTTGAAACCGGCACGTGGTTAAGGGAAAAGCATTTCCGGTTCGGAACGAATCGAATAAAATAATGACGGGACGGGTAAAGGGTTAGAAAAGGGTAAAAAAAAAAATTTCGAAATGAAAAAAAAACGACGCGGGGAGGGGCAGGAGTTTCACGTTAAAAAGAATTACAAGAATTTAATCGATCGTTCAATCAATCAATCATTAATTAATTAATTAATTTATTTATTTGTTTGTTTGTTCGTTGCCGGAAAGGAATCCGACGTGAAAATTCGAAACAAAAAAACATCATCCGTTAAATAATTTATGATGTTGACGATAACGAAAGATTAGATTTTTTAATTGTTTTTTTGTTGTTTTCATTTTGGAAAATCATCATCATTATTATTATTATTATTATTATTATTCATGATTTGTGTTTTTCCCCCCTTTTTTCTTCATTGATTTTTGTCACGTGCTTATAAATAAAAAAAATAATTTAATTTGCAACAACAAAAAAAAAAAAAAGAAAGAAAAAAACGTACATAAAGGTTTTGAATTGAAATTTTTTTTCGGGTCATTAAAGTTTTCTAATTAAATAAAAAAAAAAATTGAAAATGTCGACGAAGTGTTTCAAAACACGTGGCAGGAGAAGAATAATAACAAAATTTAATAAAAGCTTTTAAATATATATTTTTTTTCACCAATTTTTCGTTGGTTGTGGTTTGTTTTGTATAAACTTAAATTAAACTGGGGTCTAACGAATGCACACACACGTATCACTCTCGCACACGCGCACACGTACACGCAAAAAAAAGTTTGATTTTTTTTTGTTTCCGTTTCCGTTCGGGGGTCATTCACCTTTTTAATTTGACGTTCGATTTGTTTTTCCCCGAAAAAATTATTTCGCGTTAAAAATTTTTTCATTTTACATTTTTTTTTTTTTTTTTAAACGTATTTGAACGTGTAAGAAGAAAAAGAAAAAAAATCAGTTGGAGAACACGTCAAATCAAAATTTTTTTTTGTTTTTTCGAATTTAATTAATTTTCGAAAATCGACGGGTTGGAAAAAGAGTTTTTAAACGCGCGCGAGAAATTTTCAAATATATATTGACGTTATCGTATCTGGTTACACGTTTTTTTTTTCTTCTTCTTTTTCGAACGTGAAGTTTATTAAGAAAAAAGGTTAAATTCATCGGGCAAAAGAATCGAGTTGAATTTTCCCACTCTCTCTCTCTCTCTTCCTCTTTCTTTTTACAATTTTATTCGTTTTTTTTGATTTGTTTTGTTTTGTTTCCTTCGCGGGCTGTGCCAAAAAAAGAAATAATAATAATAATAATATTTTTCGTTGTTTTATATTCTTTTATGCGGCATTTAAAAAAAAAAAAATGGCGTCGGATTTAAATTCTCATATTTGTAAACTTATATATATATATATTTAAGTGTCCAATCAGTTCACAAGACAGAAACGTTTCACTTTTTATTTATTTATTTTCTTTTATTATTATTATTATTATTATTATTATTATTATTATTATTATTATTATCATCATCATTATTATTACTGTTACTTTTGACGAATGCGATTTTTTTCTTTTTTTTTTTTTTAATCGAAATAAAAATTTTATAATAAAATAAAATAAAAAATGGCGGGAGAAAGGATAGGGAGTCAAGATTCTGTGTGTGTGTGTGTGTGGCAGGAGAAAAATAAATTCGTTTACGTAAAAAAACGGAAAAATAATAAATAAATAAACGTGGCGTTAGATATGAAAGAAACAATCGTGATTATTGAAAATGATGCTTTTAAATAAAACAAAAGAAAACTCGAATTTAAATTAAAAAAAAAAAAAATGGAAATTAAAAGATGGCGCGTAAAACGGAAACGAGACGCAAAAAAAAAAAAAATTTCAAAGGAGGAGCGTGGAGGGGGGGGGTGAGGAGGGTGGTGGTCGGGGAAAAAAAATTAATAAGCGGAAACGTTAAAATTAATAAGTTTTTCGAAAAATTTTTTTTTTTTTTTTTTAAAAAAAGAAAAATTAATAATGATTTTGAGTTAATGCCCGACAACAATCTTATTAAAAATAATTTTCGTTTTTCTTTCCCCCCCCCTTTTTTTTTTCTCTGTTAAATTTTTTCCTGATGTTGTTTCCGGTTAAATAGCTTTTAGAAAAAACGGAAACGATCATTCGAACCGTCGTTTATTATTGATATATTTTTTTTTTTCGTTTTTACTCTTTTCGAAAATTTGCTACTTATAAACGAAAAGAAGTTTT